TTTTTATTGCAATTGCTTTTGTTATTCTTTTTATTCTGCAGCTTAAGTGTTCTTCCATACTTCAACCATTATCATGCAGCACTAATTTTTCTTTTAATGTATTTTCATCATCTGGGGAAGTAATAATGGGTTCTTATACCACATCTGCAGGTGGACAAACGGAAGAAAACGCCTGCTTCTCTGGCAGACACGGCTGCGACACTAACGCCGTCTGCAAACCTGGACAAGGAAGCCAGTTCACATGCGAATGTGCCGTGGGCTTTACTGGAGACGGACGCGCTTGCTCTGGTACCATTAGATATTTTGCATAATTAAATCAATCCTCAGTTCATCATTGCAATTAAAACCATATCCTATTTCATTACCCTCTTAAAAAGGCCACTAATCTGCTTCCTTTTGAAGGGAAAACGATTTTTGTCCATGAAAGTACAGTTTCCTAAGGAGGTCGTTTCCAAAGAAATCTGTCAAAATTGAATATTCCCCCAGACCTCTAAGGATGTGACCCATCCCTTGATGCTTAAAGGAAATTACACATAAATTGTAACGATGTTATCTTAAAAAGCTGTAATTATGAGAGTCGTTAGTAATCCATGGGAATGTGACTGAGGAAGTCTTTTTGTTTACGATTGCATTAAAGCAGTTCGTCTCTGTCTGAAAACGCTTGTGGAAATCCTCAGGATTGGTCTGCTTCTCTTTTCTCATCAGACATCGATGAGTGCAGGGAAACCCCTCAGATCTGCGGGCCGAACGCCGTCTGCAATAATCACCCGGGAACGTTTCGCTGCGAGTGTCGGGACGGATTCCAGTTTGCCAGCGACGGACAGACGTGTGTTGGTACGTCAGAGTCTCATCATGAGTCACTATGTGTTTATGTCTGCTTGTATTCGTCACCGTTATTTGTTGACAAAATCCCCCTGCCATTTAGATGACTCAATTAAATACTGTCGGTTTCCATAATAAAATGTCTAAAATCTAAAGAAACCATAAGACTTCATTTTCATTGGAGAAGTTTAGAAACTGACATCACGCTCCTTGTTTAGTCTGGTCTTCAGTAAGAAAAAGATCTTTAAGATCTCAGTTGCTTTTCCAAGTCATGATTGAGATTAAATGGAAAGCAAATGGAGATTTGAGACAAAATCTCTGGCCTCTAATGTTGCTAAGAAAAAAAAGACCCTAGGAGAAATTCCCTCATGGCTCATTTGAAGCACATTATTTCTAATTTCAGTCAGCATATTTATTATTTAAACGTAATACAATTATTTAATTTTTAAATGTATTCATTATTTAAATGTAATGAATATTTGACATTGAAATTTAATAAATGTAGAATGTTATTTTAATAAATGTATGTATTAAATATATTTATTAAAGTGCCCCTATTATGCCTTTTAAAATATTACCTTTCATGCAGTGTGTCATGTAGCTGTATGTGAACA